TGTGTTTGTGGTGTGTGGGTGTATGTGTACTATATGTGTGTGGTATGTGGTGGGCATATGTGTGTGTATTTTCTGTGTGGTGTGGCACATGTGTAAGTAGTGTGCATTTGTGGTGTGTAGTATGTGTGTGTTGTGATGGTGTGCATGTGCTGCGTATGATGTGTGTGTGTGGTGTGTAGGTGATATATATGTAGTATGGTTGGACATCTGTGTGTGTGCATAGGGGTGTGCAGTATGTGAGTTTGGTGTATTTGTCGTGTGGTGTGTGTGAGTGTCAATGTGTGTGTGTTTCATGTCTAGTGTGTGTTTTTCTGTGGTGTGTGGTGTACTGTGTGTGTGCTATTTTTGTGTAATGTGTTGTGTGTTTGTGGTCATGTGTGTTTTGGGGGTGTGTGATAAGTGGTATGTGTGTCATATGTGCACATGGTTTGTAGTGTGTGTGGTGGCTCTGTGTGTAGAGGGTCATGTGTGATGTGTGGGTGTTTGGTGTGCGGCATGTGTGTGGCATTGCGTGTGTGTGTGTGTGTAGTGGGTGCGTGTGATAGGTAATGTGCATGTGGTATGTGTGTATAGTGTGTGGTGAGTGTGGTGCTTGTGTACATGTATAGGGCTATGTGCGATGTGTGTGTATTTGCTGTGTATGTGATATGGGGTGTGTGTGGCAGTGTCACTGTGTATACATATCTTGTGGTGTGTTGTGTGTGGTGTGTGGTACGTTCTGTGTGTATCAAGTATATGTGTCTATGGTGTGTGGGTATGTGTATGTGTTGGGTGTGTAGTGTGTGTGGGGTGTGTGTATGATGTGTGCATGCTGTGTATGGTGTTGGGTGCGTGCTGGGTGTGTGTGTTGTGTGGCAGAGTGGGGAATTTGTGCCCTTTGTGTGGTGTGTGTATGATGTGTGATGTGTGTGGTGTGTGTATGTGTGGTGTGTCTTTGGTATTTTTGGTGCATGTGTGTTTGCTATTTGTGTGTGTGTGTGGTGTGTGGGTGTGTGTGCTCTGGGTGCGTGGTGTGATGTGTGTGGTATGGGGTGGGTTGAGTGTGTTTGTGGTGCAGTGTGCATGGGTGGGTGGGTGTGGATGTATAGCCTACATGGGTGTGAATGTGAGTGTCCATTGGTGCGGGGGGAATATGCGGGGGTGGGGGTGTGAGTACTTGTGTACAATTAGTGTGTTGTTACCTCACAACAATAAGTTTAACTCTGAAGCAAGAAAAGACATGTGTGAGAACCTCTCAGGGAAACACTAGCAAGTGGCATGGAGCAGCAGCTAACTCGGTCCACAGGCCAGGAACAGCCAGGGCTCCTCCCAGGAAGACCAGGAGGGTGCAAGAGCTGAAATATCTGTGTAATTTACCACATCAGCAAAATGGGAAACAGGAACCAGGCACCAAGCGGTTATCTCAGGGGATGAAGAACAAGAAGTGGGGGCGTCAACATCCCACAGCACCCTGTGAGCAGAAGGAAACCTCCACAGCCCGACAAAGGCATCCACACAAACACCCTCGGCTCACCTCAATCCCACAGGATCAATCACAGCATCTGTCCCTGCTGTCTGAGACATGGTGAGGATGCTCTCTTGCCATCCAGGGTCCTGGTATGGGTGGTGACAGCCTTGTGTGGTCCTCTGTGATGACCCCTGTCTGTCCCGACCTCCGCCTGTGAGTGCTGGGACTCTGCACGGCTGGTATTTACACAACTGCAGCTGCTGGAGAGGAGGGGAGCCCTGGGCATCCTCCCTCCATGGGGACAGCATGAGGCTGGGTGCCGCTGGCCCCAGAGCAGCAGATGGGCTCTGTCCTCCCTGTTCCTCACTGCAGGGTGCCCTGGCAGTAGGCTGTGGGGACAGACACACCATCCATGTCTGAGCTCTGCTCTCCATGGGCACACGACCAGGAGCAAATTGTCCAGTGTCGGCAAGCTCCCGCGGTGCCTCCTATGAACAGAAAGGACGCTGTCAGGCCTGTCTTGAGTCCCAGGGCACTGGGCTGTGCAGGGACTGGCACGGGCTGGGAGCTGGTAGGTCCCAGAAATAGGAGCTGTGCTGACACTTCCATGATTGGTCTGGGCTCTGTCCCCAACCCCGCCTCTCCCCAATGCAGAGCTGAGGGTGGGGGTGGAGTAGAGAGCTCCCCTTCCCCTCAGGGTGTCTTTCTGCTGCTCCTGGTTTAAAGCCGCTCAGCCGTGCAGCAGTTGTGACAGCTGTGCTCCTCTGATGATGTCCCCGGACATGCACAGGCTGTGGCGTCTGAGCAGCCCTGTCAACCCCAGGTGAGGATGTGAGTCGTCACTCCTCAGCTGGAGGCAGCTGAGTCGAGGCGACAGGTGCCCTCTGCCCACCAGCTCGGCCCTCTACGTCTGCCCATGTGGCCTGGCAGTCACAGCCCTGAACTGTCAGCTGTTGGCCAACTTGTGCAAAGCTGCCCCACATGGAGAGTGACGGTCACAGCAGGGAAAGCCCAAGGCAGGAGCGTGAAACCCAAATGCAACAGAATATGCCCTCTCAGCAGGCTGCCGCTGAGAAGCCAGGTGGGTTCTAGGGAGCCCAGGAAGGAGGCCAGGGAGGGAGGCAGAATGTAACTTGGAACCACTCGTTCCATGAAGGTCCAGAGCAGTCCCCAGCCCTGCTCAGGGGGGCAGAGTTGGGCTGGCCAAGGTGTGCACTACCCAGGCTCAGATGTACCTTCCAGTGTCCAGCTGGTCAGGGCCCTTTGGAAGCCTGAGCAGGGAAGATATTGAGAGTGCAGCCCGGGAGCATCAGATTTGGAAGCAGCTCCGCAGTGGGAGAGGACCCCATGCTTGCACTGAGGGTGCCCAGGCCTGGGAGCTCAGCACAGGGCACCAAGCTGGCCTTTCCTGTTGTCTCTCTCACAGCCTCAGTGCCCCCACAAGGTTCTTCCTAAGGAAGCGTCATGGCCATTGGACAGGTGACCCCAGAGGCCAAACAGGAGATACCATGAGGAGGAACAGGCCAGGACGAGCCAGCTGAGGTCGGCAGTTGGAAGGCCTTGGAATGAAGGTGGGCCCTGGAGCTCCCCATGTGAGGAGGGTGGAGCCCCAGGCCCCAGTCAGGGGCTGACATGGAGGGACACAAACCCACTATTCCTGCCATTCCCATTTTACAAAAAATCTAGACATTTGCATTTTTAGAAAGAATGTTCAAGTTTTCTTGCTTTTTTTGTCCTTTGAGACAGGGGCTCACTCTGTTGCCCAGGCCAGCATGCAGTGGCATGATCATGGCTCACTGCAGCTAAATTTTAAAAATTTTCGTAGAGACAGGGTCTCATTATATTCTCTAGGCTGGTTAATTGCTGGGCTAAAGCGATCCTCCCACCTCAGCCTCCCGGTGTGCTGGGATTACAGGCATAAGCCACCGTGCCTGTCAATGTTCAGGCTTTTCACTGTGGGCCCCCGTTTTTGAAAATACTTGAAAGGCTCAGAAAGCATGTCAGCAGGCCAGCTTCACCCACAGCCCGCCTTGAAGGTGTGACGCTGCAGGAAGGCAGGAAGCAGGGATCACAGGAAGCTTTCTTTGGGTGCCTGGACCAGGGGCACCCCAGGCATCCGCAGGGATTGGAATGAGCGGGGCCTGGGCCAAGAGGCAGGGATGGAGGCCAATGCCCTTGGCAGCTTCAGACCTGCGGGAAGCCCGGCTGGCTCCTGGGGCCAGCCCCACCTGCCCTGTGTCCCCTGTGGTGTTTGACTCAGGGCAGGAGCCACAGTGGTGGAAGGACATACTCCCTGAGCCTCAGGGTGGGTGCCCTGTGGTCCTTACTGGTTCAGGAAGAGCAGGAGATGAGGAATCACCTGTAGGTCTCTGGAATCACAGCTAAAACAGGGCTTCTGTGATGGATTCCCCTGAGCAGGGTCCTAGGTGACTCGCCTGCCGCACCCGAGTCCTGGCCCCGCCCCTGTGGGTGTCCTGCCTGCCACAGGCACACAGAAGACAGAGGGGAGAGACCCCGAGGGTTGAGCAGCCCTGAAGGAGGCATCCAGGCCTGGGTGCCCAGCTCAGGCACAAGACAGGGTGTCTTCAGGCAGCCTTGTGGCTCCGCTTACACCTTACATCAGGGAGGGCCTGGCTGAGTGCACGGCCTGCACACCTGGGGCCCGAGGGAGCACCACAGATTTCAGGGCGGGAACATCACGCTGACCCCACCCTGTGCAGGGGCTAAGTGAGACCTTTCCTGGACTCCTTGCTTTAGGCATGGTAGGGAGAGGGCCCTTGAGTACTCAAGGCCCAGCCGCCTCCTCTTGGACCCTCAGTGACACCAGGTGAAGATTTGGCCCAGTGACACACAGACATCGGTCGAGACACAGCACGAGTGGTGTCCTGACCACCCTGCCATGTGTGCTGTCAGGCTCCCAACCCAGGTCGCAGGGCGCCCCTCAGCTCCCTGGAGTTCCCTCTGGCCCAGCCCCTCAGGCCTCCCTTGGGGGCTCAAAGCAGCACTCCCCTGACTGGTGTGAGTGTGAGCTGCAGAACGATGCTGCCCTCCGTGCAGTAGGTGATGAAGGACAGTCGAGTTCTCGGGCTGGAGAGGAAGCACGTGGCCCTGAGAAGCCAGAGAAACAGCCAGAGCGGGTGACACCCATTCGCCACCTCCCACCCTAACTCTTCCTCTTTGGGGCCCCTTGTTAGATATAGGGAGGTGAGATAAATGTAGTGAAGCACTCTGAGGCCTGTGGAGATGAGGGGCCCACAAAGGAGAGTCAGAATGGCAACTCGCTGCATCCCCACGATCCCAGCACCTCCCAGAGACACTCGCACTCACCACACACACACCCCCCCACACACATGCACCGCCACACACACACAAACACACACAAACACACATCACACAGACACACATACGCACATAGGCACACACACCACACACATGCACACACAAGCACACACATGCACACACACCACACACATGTGCACACACACCACACACACATGCACACACACGCATTCACACACTCCACGCTGAACATGCAGGAAGATGGACACACAGCTCTCACAGCTGGTCTCTCTCTATTGGAAAATACTTTGCCTCCTCACCCCATTCCTCTCTCCTCTTCCTCATCCCTCATCCACCTTAGAAACCAAGCAACAAGGCAGAGCAGAGGGAGTACAATTCAGGCCAAACCCACAACTTCCCCACACCATCTTCCCATCACCTGTGTTTACTGAGGTCAGACCACAAAAGCCCTCTGGGGCCACCACCTAGCTAGAGGGTCCAGTGAGCTGCTGGGGTCCTGAGTAGTTTGGGGAGAGGCCCCTAGAGTCCCGTAAGCAGAAACATCTAGTGCAAGGGCAGCCTGGGCCAGGTCGATGTGTGGGGCAGCCTGCCAGCACCTGCCGCCCAGTGCTGGAAGCCAGGAGCACTGGAGAATGGAAGGACTGCAGGGCTCAGCCAGGACCCAGCGGCCCGTCCAGTCCTGACCATGTGCACAACTGGAATGCTCTGTGCCTCCCCTCCCAGCATATAAGTATGGTTAGGTCCTTCAGGGTTTAGATGTGCTCAGCATCCTGCTTGGCACATGGCAAGTTCTGGATTCATGTTATTTCACATTCTCCACCTGTGCCCAGAGACCTTCCCCCATCCATCCCGGGCTTGAGCTTTGCCCCCACTGGGGTCCCCAGCAGAACCCTAGGAGAGCGGGCAGGTGCACGTAGCAGGGGGTGACTGAGAGGACCGTTTGGACCCTTACTCCCGCTCTCTGGAAGAACGCGTTCAACAAGGCTGCCAGCCTTCAGCGAAGCCCATCCATTGTCCAACCAGATGCCTAAGTGGGGAATCACCACCCTCAGGGCTGTGCTAAGGATCAAGGGCACAAGACCTGGCCAGTGCATCTTGGAAGTCCCTAGTCTGGGCAGGGGGGAGGGACTCCCCTTCCAGCAAGCAGGGAGCTCCCCTCATTGCTGGCTTTGCTTAGAAGTTGGTGGGCTGGGGTCTGCATTCCCTAAGCATCAGCATCCAGTAGGAATGAGAAAAATCAGAGGGAGTTCAGTGGTTGCCTCCCCCAAAGTAGTGAGCTGAGGATGGTGGAGTGAGCAGTCCTGCTAGACACTCCTTATCTGCTCGTTGCGCACAGCGTCCCGTTTCTGGTTTCCACCTTGGTCAGCAGTGCCGCAGCACGGGTGTTGCTCAGGTTAACTTTGGAGTTATTCCACTTTTTGTCTTAAACTCTGTGTTTGTGTTTCATTTCTTATTAATGAATTTTAGAACTTTGGCCCTTTTAAAATTCTGCATTTGTCTTAATTAGCTGTTCTGGTCATATAGTTTTATTCCTTTTATCTTTTTTGAACACTTTATACACCCTTATTTTAATATTCATTTTAGATCACTCTATTCTCTTTACTCTCTGGGCTTTGAATCTCCTTGTTTCTTGTATCTGCTGCCTCTCTTTGGGGAGATACCTGGGAGTTTTTCCTCTGAGCGCCTCTTCAGTAGGAAATGATTTTCCACGAGAATCCTGGTTCCCCTGGATGAGGACGGTGTCTCCCGGGGAGAGTTTCCTGTTTGGTTTTGCTGGAGCCTGGCGGGTTCCCTCAGGTGCAGATGGGTATAGTGTTAGCTCCTCAGCTCAGAGTTTCTGTACCAGTCACTGCAGACCTGGGGCCCTGGTTTCCCACAGATGCCCAGGGCAGGGGCCTTCTTCTGTGCTAGGTGCTGCTCCGTGGTATTTGTTCCGTGACTCTGCAAACATTGTTTTAAAATCAGTTTGTAACATCGGCCTAGTAAACAAATGTAACACATGTGCCTCCTGGAACAATGGACTGGCACACCACCCCCTTCTCATCTTCATCCCAGTCCTCAGGGAGGCCCCTGGTCACTGAAGTCTGAGGCCACCAAGGCAGGAAGACCCTGGGGGGAGGGTCAATGAGAGATGCCTCTCAGCCCCTGTTCCTGCTGTCCCTGGGCCTCAGGGTAGAGCTTCTGCGGACTTTGTTCCTTCCCGTTTCTGAGACAGCCTGAACTTGGGCCACCCTCCCCTTCATGGAGTCCCAGCTGTCAAACAAACACCTCCAGGGCCATCTGCTCTCTGAACAAGAGTTTTCCTCCTGGGATGCCCCCACCCACTCACAGAAACAGGGATATAGGGAAGAAAGGACCAGGATTTCTGGTTGCAATGATTGTATCCATGAGTTTGAGACCCCCAGGTTACCTTTGGACTCATGAGCTGAACTGCTGGGCATTCTGGCCTGGATGTCCCTGGAGCCCCAGAACCTCCACAGGGATCATGAGCAGGGGGTCACTGCCCCAGAACAACGAGGACACCCACACCCACATGGTCTACCCTAGTTCCTCACTCATCAAAGGAAATGACGAGATTCCAAGGTCCCCTCCAGTGTCACAGGCTGGCCTGAGCCATAGGGTCCTGACCCAGCATGGCATCAAATGCCTGGAGCTCATCCTGCAGGAGCAGCCACGGAGGAGCCCCTGGGTGTGCTGGGTAGGGGGGCTGTACGGAATCTCATTCACTCCGGACAGCTGTGGTCTCTGCAGAGGCCAGGGGTCTGTGGCCCCCAGACTACCCTCAACGATGCAGTCCAGCCAGAACTGGGGCCTTTTGGCTTCAAAACGTGTTGGAGTCTTTCCCCAGAGCCCATTGTCTTTTAGAAATTACCACTTAGGGAGGGTAGTGCTGCTGATAAAGCCTGGCATGCACTGAATTGTGTCCTCCCCAAAATTTATATATTAAAGTCCCAACCCCTGGTTCCTCAGGATGCAGCTGTATTGTGTTTGGAGAGGATTTGTAAAGGTTAAACGAGGTCATTAGGGTGCGCCCTAATCCAGTACGACTGGTGTCCTTACAGGAACAGTTTAGGAAACAGACATGCGTGGAGGGAACAGCATGGGAGGACACAGGAGGAAGGCAGCCGTCAGCAAACCCGGCTCCATGAGACCCAGAGGAAACGACCCCCCCACCTTGACCTTGGACTTGCAGCCTGCAGAATTCTCAGGAAAAGTGTCTGTTTTTTGTCACTCAGTGTGTGGAACTTTGTTCTGGCCCCTAGTGGACAAATACAATGGCTTTGCTGTTAACAGCCTAGTGGACAAATGCAAAGGCTTTGCTGTTAACAGCCCAGACCTACGTTTCCTGCACATAAGGCATGGGACTCCCTCATCCCCTCTGCCCAGGTCCAGCCCTCGTCTCCGAGCTGAGCTCACCGGGTAGGCTGCGGGCAGCAGGCGGGAGTGGGGCCTGATGGAAGGGGCGGTGCTGAGGCAGTGAGGGCTGCAGAGGGATGCTCACTTGCTCATGTGGCTCAGCTTCGTGGAAGCATCAGGAGCAGGAGTGAAGGAAGCAAGGTGACAGGGGCCACTCATGGGGAGACAGATGGGCAGGCTCCTCTACATGCTGGAGACAACTTTGAGGGCACCTGCTCCACCCACTGCCACACCCTCAAACTTCCCCATACCCTGTGCATGGTCCAGCAGTAGCCCTGATTGTATGATATGACCTTGGTGGTCAGATCAGGCATGCACAGCTTGGCCCAGACTATGGGATCAGAATCTCTCCCCAGCAACGTGGCCATGGGGTCTCTGAAGAGAGGACGAGCAACCGCAGACTGCAGGGCTACTCGCAACAGCCAAGTACACAGAGAGGCAGAGGTGAGGAGAAGGGAGCAGAGCTAAGGCCACATGGCCCAGGGAGCAGGGCAACCTGAAGGAGACCCCAAGCAGGGGTCCTGTGGGTTTTCCAATGTCTGGTCCTGCTAAGACCTGGCTGCTCTTGTGATCATGAGCTGGCAACCTACAGTCACTACAGCCCTGTCCTTCTGTTGTCTCCTCTTGGGTCCTGCCTCCGCACAGCCTGTAGCCAGGCTCAGGCTGGGATCTCCCATATGGACCCTAAGGCAGGCTTTCTTACACTTTCCACAGAAATTCTCCAGCTGATAGAAGTGAACTCCCCAAGCTGGGGCCATATTCTCAAGTGGTCTGTAAAATTTTTGCAAGGTTTGTGGTTCATCTAAAAGATTCATAATTTAAAAATGGAATTCTTGATAGTTAAGTCGAGGCAGATTGGGTTTCTGGTGAGAGTCAGCTCTCTGGTTCATCGTTAGCATCTTTTGGCCAACAATGTCTCCTGTGTCCTCCCACCGTGGAAGGAGGGAGGCAGCCCTCTGGGGCCTCTTTTATAAAGGCACTAATTCCATCCATGAGGCTCCGCCCTGGTGACCTAATCACCTCCCCATACCCCCACTTCCTCATACCATCCCTTGGGGTTTAGGATTTCAACATAGGAATCTTTAGGGGACACTAACTTTCAGGTCATAGCATTGGACTTACACCATTGCCACACCCCCGCCCCTCTAATTCTTGGGTCTTCAGACTCAGACTGAGTCACACCACTGACATTCTTGTTTCTGTAGCTTGCAGATAGCAAACTGCGGGACTTCTCGGTCTCCATAACCACATGGGGCAATTCCTATAATAAATCTCCTCTTACATATACCTGTATATATCCTGTTGGATCTATTTCTCTGGATAACTCTGGCTAATACACACTGCAAGTACCTGTGCAATATCAAGGGCCTGGCTATCTGCTTGAAATGTAAAATAGAAAACAAACGTGTGCACGCACGCACGCACGCGCGCACACACACACACACACACACACAGAGACCCTGCCCAAAGCCACCTGCCAAGTGCCTGTCCTCAAACCAAGGCCCAGGCCCCTTCACCCGTCTCCATCACAAGCGTCGCCAGCCTGTCTGACAAACTGCCCTACAAAGTTACTGACATTGGCCTGGCCTCCTGGATACACAAGGCCCTGAACATTGTGGAGAATGAGATGCCAGGCCTGATGCACATGCCAGAGCTGTGCTCAGCCTCCAAGCCACTAGAGGGCACCCGCATCGCAGGCAGCAGGCATCGCCAGCTGCCTAAACACGACCATGGAGACCGTCATCCACATTGAGACCCTCATCATCCTGGGTGCCCCAGCAGCAACATCTTCCTCACCCAGGACCATGTGTTGACTGCCATTGCCAAGGCTGGCATTCCAGTACATGCCTGGAAGGGCGAAAGGATAAGGAGTACCTCTGGTGCATCGAGCAGTCACTGTAATTCAAGGACGGGCCCTCAACATTATTCTGGAGGATGGCAACGACCTCACCAACCTCTTCCACATGAAGTACTCACAGCTCTTGCTGGGCATCTGAGGCACTTCCAAGGAGACCAAGACTGGGGTCCACAACCCACACAGGATGCTGGTCAGTGGGATCCTGAAGGTGCCTGCCATCAATGTCAATGACTCCATCACCAAGAGCAAGTTTGACAAGCTCTGTGGCTGCTGGGAGTCCCTCATAGATGGCATCAAGTGGACCACAGAGGTGATGATTGCCAGCAAGGTAGCAGTGGTAGCAGGCTACAGCAACATTGGCCAGGGCTGTGTCCAGGCCTGTGGGGTTTTGGGGCCCACGTCATCATCACCAAGATCGACCCTGTCAATGCACTGCAGGCTGCCATGGAGGGCTATGAGGCGACCACCATGGACGAAGCGTGTCAGGAGGGCAACACCTTTATCACCACCACAGGCTGTGTCAACATCGTCCTTGGCCAGCACTTTGAACAGGTGAAGGATGATGCCATCATGTGTAACACTGGACGCTTTGATGTGGAGATCGACGTCAAGTGGCTCAGCGAGAACACTTGGAGAAGGTGACCATCAAGCACCAGGTGGCCGGGTACTGGCTGAAGAATGGGCGCCGCACCATCCTGCTGGCTGAGGGTCAGCTGGTCAGCCTGGGTTGTGCCATGGGCCACCCTGGCTTTGTGACGAGTGACTCCTTCATCAACCAGGTGACTGCACAGATTGAGCTGTGAACCCACCCAGAGAAGTACCCCATCGGGGTTCACGTCCTGCCCAAGAAGCTGGATGAGGCAGTGGCTGAAGCCCACCTGGGCAAGCTGAATGTGAAATTGACCAAGCTGACTGAGAAGCAGGCCCAGTACCTGGGACATGTCCCCTGATGGCCCCTTCATGTGTGATCACTACCACTACTGAGAGTCAGACCTGTGTTTCACCTTCCAGCTGCTGTTCTTGCCCAGGCTCTGCCTCTCCTTCTTAAGAGCAAATAGCACCAATTTTGTGACTGGTTTGTCAGCATCCCCCATCGACTCCTCAGGGCTGGTCACTCAGTTTTTGGCTTCACTTGCACCCTCATACTATTCCAAGTGTGTCAGGGGAACTGAGAGGCCCCTCCTCAAGCCCTGGTCACAGTGGAGGTGTAAGGGAGACAGCCACAGGGAACTGTGAGCTCAGTGGTCTTGGAACTGCTCACTAAGTCAGTCCTCCCTTAGCCTGAAGTTGGTAGTGGAGTCACAAAGCCCATGTACTTTACCATCTAGGCCTTCACCTGGCCTGTGGACTTATACCGTGTGCTCGGTTTACAGGTTCAGTGGTTCCTCAGCCCCTGACAGAAGGAGCTGTACTGAAGGGCAAGGAGGAACTGTTTCAATTTTCCTGAGAGCTTGGCTTAGTGCTGGGCCTTCTCTTAAACCTCATAACAATGAGGTTGGTACTTTCAGTCCCTGTTTTACAGGGGTTAGAATATACTGTTAAGGACAACTGAGAAAGAACAGAGAAGTGACAGCCAGAGGTTGAGAAGGGCCAGAAAAGCATAAAAGCAGGCATAGATTGGCCACTACTTTGTAACGAGATGGTTCCTATCACAACCCTGGGTCAA